GGGGGGAGAGCTGTGCAGAGGAGCCCCTGGAGCAGGGGGCCCTGCAGTGCTGCACGTAGACCGAGGGGAGAGCGCTGGAGGCTGTCTCAGTGGCGACATTAAGCAGACACCTGAGGGGTGCATGGGATTGAGCCCCGCCAGGGGGGCGAGCGCGTGTCAGGCAGGGCTCCGGGAGCCTGCACCCCAGCTCCAGCCTGGGGTGGCTGCCCCCAGCATCGCGGGGGTGCTCCGCTCACGCGCCACTCACTGCTGGTTCCCCGTGGAACGCATCTGCTTCCCGCTCCCCCCGCATCCCTGCAGCTGCTCACTGTTTGCACTGGTGTGCACGTGCCTTCGCAGAGGCCTTAGCATCACATAATGAGACAGGAGACATCAGCAGGAGAGGAAAGAAGAGCATAAATATGGAAAACTGTAGTATGTGGACTTGGGATGTGGGGCTGAGAAAGTTGACCAGTCGCCGCCAAAGAGAAAGTAGGTGCGTAGCAGAGAAATTTGGGAATTTCACACAGAAAGAGCTCAGAAAGAGCCAAAGCGGACCAGGAATGGGAGTGAGAGAAGGGCAGCGGGCACTGTTAATGAAACGGCAGTTCAGAGACTTTCGCAGTCAACTTTTCTTTATGTGCCTGATGGGCCCAGAACTGCAACACAAATTAGCTTAATTAGCTTCGTTCATTCATTCATTTAACACACTGGGACTGAGCGTCCACTGTGTGCCACGAGTTATGTCAGGCAATGGGGATACACGTGTGGCTGAGCAACGGTCTGTGAGAGAGCAAACCATAGAAGCGGATTCTCCCCTACAGCGAGGCGAGTGCTGCGATAGAACGCCCTGCGCCCGTAATGATCACGTCCTCTCCGTCTCAGTTTCACTAATAAGATGGAGATGGGTTAGGCCCCGGACCTGTTGGCAACCTTTGCTACAGTCATTAGCCCACAGTGGCTCTAGAAATTCCATGCGGAATTGGAGCTGCCCTCTGGCCGTAACTGTGAGCCCTTCCACCTGCTCGCAGGGCGCAGGCTCCCTGAGCCAAAGGCGCCTTACTGTGCTCTGCACAAATAACACCCTGTTTGCTGGTTTTGGAGTTCTGTTGTTGGTGTTGGAGTTCCCTTTGTGCGTGCAGCACTTTTTCCAAAAAGCATCCTCAAAGACATTTTAAACCACAATCGCAGGGCACGTCTCAGCCCAGAAATCGAGCCCACGGAAGATAAAGGGGCCACGCATTCTTGTTCTGACCGTGGGCCTCCCGGTGCTCCTCGGTCTCCAGCAGCCCAGGGTGCAGCGTGAAAAGGGAGCACCACCCAGCAGGGACTGTCTCCCTCTGCAGAAACCCCAGCCCCCCACTCACCCCAGCCGGCTGTCCACACGAGCGGGACTTCCAGGCGTCCGCCTCCACTCGCCTTCCACCCAATGCTTTGTGCTCAGGAGAAGAACCCCAGGTGCCAGTGCCCGCTGTGACCACTCCAACCTTTAGTTTTCAGAGGGTAATTTCCATGCGCTTCTGAACTCTTAAAAGAAAACCACTTTAATTCATTCAGTAGTGAACCGAACTATTGATCTTAGGCCTGGTTTCTAGGTACCTGGAGGTATTATTAAGTATAATGTGAGGTTTCCCTCTTTGTCACCTAAAGATTGCCTTCAGGAACATGTTATTGTATTTATCCATGAAATCCAAAATGGAAGTAAATATTTTTTTAAAGATCCAGGTTGTATGCCGACCTCCTTACCCTGTGCCATTCAGGTCATTTGGCTCCTGCCCAGTGTGGGGAGCCCATAGCTTCCCCTACCTCTGCCCCCCAGACGCTGGCTGCCTGGGGGTCACTGCTGGGCTCACTCTGGCACTCCTAGCACTTTGGCGCTGAGAAGATTCCTGCTCCGTCTGAGTCCTCTTCTGGAGAAATGGCCCAGGACTGGGTCTCTGGCTAAAATAAGCCTCCAAAGGGATCATAAAGAATGTAGCCTGAAGACCCTCCACAACTCAGTGCCTTTTGTTTACTAAGGGCTAACCCAGGAGCCATCTCTTGATGTCCAAAGCTCGCCTGTGAGCTGGGCAGGCACCCTCACCCCACTCCCACAGGCGGGGCCGTTCCGGGTGGGGAGCAGGCTGATGCGTCCGAGAGATTTGCCTGTGATCACACCCGTGGGGAAGCTGGATGCCGACTCTAAATCCCGAGTTCTTTCTGTTCTCGTGAACTGGCTTCATTTCCCCCATTTTTAAAGGCTGTATTTTCTAATTTATAATCCCATTTTGAACTTTAATTCTTCTCTTTAACAATGTTAGACCCCTTTCTGGAAAGGATATTGGGATTGCCTCCCACCGTGCATTCCAGGGGTAGCAGCCAGGAGCCCGTCCCAGCTGCAGGGGTAGGTAGGCCCTGACTGGTCTAAGCCCATGGGAGCCTGTCTTTCTCCAGGCTACAGTGATCGGTTCGTGGAGGGGCCATGACCCAAGTTGGACTTTTGTTTAATGATTGGAAAAGAAAGGCCCTTTCCCACCTCAGTGATGAATAAGGAAGTTCGTAACAGGGCGTTTGGCAGCCACCCTGTGACCATGAGGAGAGGCCACTTCTACCACATGGGAGAGAGAGACAGACAGGCATGAACGAAGTCTTTGGTGGTAGCCCTGAGCCAATAAATTTCCCCCATGAGCAAAGCTGACTTGGGTTATATTTTCTGTCACGGCAACGAAAGGCAAGTTAACGAACCCTGGTTACCTCGGCAGGGAGTTTGATAAGGGTGTCCTCCTTTGCGTTGCCTAAGTTGTCAACAAAGCTGTTGAACAGGAGAGCAGGGGAACATAGGGACATTTGTTTCACGAAAGAACTTCAGGGTACTCAGGACACTGTGAGGTATTTGACTGGGGACTCAAACAGTAGTGCCACCCTCCCTGCGCCTCTGTCACACCTGCCTTGCCGCTTCCAGATCTTTCGTGGTCCCCTTGGCCCGTGG